GGTGAATATGAATTATATATGCAAAAGGAAAATAAGCTTATAAAGTTGCTTGCCACATCCTTGAGGAAACATTGGTTAATTCTTTATTGAAATTGACAGTTAAATACCAATTATTGGGGTCTAAAGACTCAATAACTTATACACAACAAGTGGGGGGGAAAAGAACAAAAAGATACGTAAGTTTCTAAATGGAACTTTTTTTTTTATATACCTCAAATCTAAAGGAGTTGTGAATATTTTTTTTTACATCTTAAAAGAATTAGGTAAGAATCAATCTTCTGGTCCATTGACAATGACTTAGCAACCCGTTTGATGTTTTTTTTTCCATTATTTGGTGTCCGATATCTGCATTGAAGTTTAATTAATTTGTATTTGTATTGCATAGGTCCCATTTGGATGAAAATGCTCCCTATCAAAGATTTTTCGATACTCGAGGCTCGAGTCCCAAACCTCTGATGAAGATAACAACAATCTCATCCACTACATCACATTTTCACTGATCCATTATATCTTGATTTATAGTTCCTTGAAATTAAAATTTTATCATTGTATCTTTTATGGAAATGTTATTTTTTTGGATCATCACGTAGATATCGTCCTTATATTTAAATAGTAGTGTAAATTAGGAGTTGTTCAAACAAAATCAATCAATAATACCAAAGTACCAAACTAACAAAGCAGTGTTATACCGGAAAAGAGACCGACTTATGAATTGATTTGATTCGATTTGGAGTTGAAAGAAAAAAAATACAATCATAATTGATTTGGTTTGATTTTAACTGAAAACGTCCAACAAAAAATAAATTAATAACAAACATTATATATACCATTTTAAAAAAAAAAGTATATATATTGCAATTAGTGAGTATTTATTAAAAACTTTTTCATAATTGTGATCTAATGTCTTCTTATAAGACTTTTAATTTGTAAAAAAAAAATTGGATCATGATCTAATATTCATAAATTGGAAGAGAAATAAAATGAGAATCATATTTACTACTCCCTCCGTTCCATTTTATATGTCATCCCTTTTTATAAATAATTGGTTTATAATACTTGTCATTTCATAAAATCAATGCATAAATTAGCATATTGTTCCTTTTTTACCCTAGCATATTGTTCCTTTTTTACCCTAGCATATTGTTCCTTTTTTACCCTAGCATATTGTTCCTTTTTTACCCTAGCATATTGTTCCTTTTTTACCCTTGTGAGTTATTAGCATTGAAAACATACATTTGACCAACTTAGAAAAGTTAAGTAAATTATTCATGTTCATTGGTTAAATTAATTAATCAGAATAAATTTATTTATACTCATTGATTGAAAGTTTGAGTTCCAAAATAAATAAATAAGGGTAGAAGGGTAAAATTACATCATTTCTTAATGCAAGCAAAATAAAAAGGTGACATATAAAATGGAACGGAGGGAGTATATAGTTATCCCAAAAACGAAAAACCGACAAAATTTCACTTCATCATTATAGATTTTAAAAGAAATATCGAGGACACAAATTCAAAAGCGATACTCAAAGATAATTAAGAAAAAAAAAGTGCTAGCTCTTTTAAATTCCCACCATCCTATAATATTCGTCACCCTATAAAAGTTGTGTGCTTGTGAAGTCGTAAATAATCCACAAAACAAAAGGTTTTGTGCATTGTATTAAACAATTACAGAATTTCGAGTTGAGTTCACATTGGTTTATATCCACGAAGATTTTGATAGGTTGAATATGATTTCCTCTACTCTTAAATCTTAAGTTTCAGATTTGATCCCTCAAAAATCAAAATGAAAATGCAGGTGAATTTGAATTTATCAAGGATCTCAATATCAATATTGAACATCATTTGAGAAAGCAAAATAAAGCATCTGATTAATATTTTGATAAAATTAATATTAAACTTGTTTAATAAAATGGTATTTGTGTTGAGGGAAAAAAGAAGAAGGTATGGTCACATTATTATTACTAGTAGTACTATACTTCTATTATTGAATTTTGACTGGTTGTTTAATTATTTTACTTGATTGGGAAAATTTTAATAAGTAACATTGGAACTACTGTTTCATCTCTTTTTATAATGACGGATTGATTCTATTATGGTATAGTATTTGGAAAAGACTCCACTACAATTCTAATAGTAAAATATGGGGAATGAGACGCATGAAAATGTTAGACAAATATTTACGTGTTAACTGAAGCAAGTATTATTAATTGAATAATTACGACTTGCACAAAAAAAATATTATATTTTTCTATTTAAAAATGTATTTTTGAAAAAATTAATTCAACATATAAGATGATCAAACACCGAAAAACAATTTTATCACATAAATATTTTTTGAAAATACATTCTACATTGTACTAAACACTAAATTGACATGTCTTGAAAATTCATCTAGTGATGTGTCTCTCAAAGATTGTTAAAATACAATTTGAATAATAAACCAGAATTATTTTTGCTCAATATCACAGATATAGGATTAATTTTGAAATGAAAATCCTTTGAACACAATACTTTTATGCTTTATTGCTGTTTCCATAATATTTTGAAAATGGTCAAACATAATTCGGTCAAAAATAAATTTGACTCAGTCAAAACTTGCTTTAATGTAAAAATAGTGAATCTAATCAAATTAGGATAGCTAATTAGAGTCATTGGGCTTGAAACCTTTGGTAAATTAACCAATGCAAATGAAAGTAATCTTAATTAGGTTTCTGTAATTACATGTCGTATTGGAAACAAATTCACTCCAAAGGGTCATTATTATTACTAAACTACTACTGGCTACCTCTTTTTAACTACTCCCTCCGTCCACAATTGTTTGGCAGGTATACTAAAAATAGATGTCCAAGATTAATTGTCAATTTAAACAATCAAGAAATAATTAGTCAATTTTTTCCAATTCTACCCTTAATGATAGTGTAGTTCAATTGAAAAGTTATGTGGACTTTTGGTATTCTTGGTATAGTAGGGTTATATTAGTCAAATTACACCTTGTATTAAATTTTCCTTCCCTTGACAACTCCTAGATTCGCTCCTACCAACAACTATTTTTTACTCCCTCCGTCCACAATTGTTTGGCAGGTATACTAAAAATAGATGTCCAAGATTAATTGTCAATTTAAACAATCAAGAAATAATTAGTCAATTTTTTCCAATTCTACCCTTAATGATAGTGTAGTTCAATTGAAAAGTTATGTGGACTTTTGGTATTCTTGGTATAGTAGGGTTATATTAGTCAAATTACACCTTGTATTAAATTTTCCTTGAGGGGTGTGCATGACCTTACCCTGACAAACAATTGTGGATGGAGGGAGTATCGTTTTAGCTAAAAAAAAAAGTGCTATTTAAAAATTTTAAAATTAAAATTGATAAAATATTATTAAAATATGCACAATATTTTTAAAAAAATCAATCTACTTTTATTACATAGGAATAAGTTAGTAAACTACAATTTGTATTTTTATTTTTTAATAGACATTAAAAAGGCTTAAATGAAAGTTAAAATGGAGCAGAGAGAATATCGTTCATAAAGCTAGAATAAAATTAATTTTCAACGGTTAATCTAAAAATAATGGAAAACCATTTATTGCCTCGGAATTAAGTAAAGTATTAACTTTATTTTGCTCTTTAAAGCCCAACCAAATTGGACCATAAATCAATAATATCGAATGAGCATAATAAGACCGTTCAGATGGTAAGAATTGATTACATTTAATTTCAATTGATTTAAGTTATATACGCGACAAATTATTTTTTCTACACTAGTCATACTATAATTTAATGAGTTATTTATTATTTTAAGGCCCATTTTATTTTTTAAAAAATGATTTAAAGAATATTGGCTGCAGTTTCTTTATAAAACTAATCTAGTTGTGTAAATAAATTTTTTCCCAATGATCTCTATTACACAGAAGATAAACAAAGAAAAGTTGGTTTGAAGATAATTAGATGTCCTGTTCAAATCGAATATAATGACATATATCATGTCACTTGAATTTCTAAAAAGATATAAACTTTATAATATAAGATATATATGTCTTTGTCCAAACCGTCCATAAAAACGAACACAACATTTGGTACCTACTTAAATACTTGTGTAATTAATCACCAATAACAATTATGGTGTAGTTGTAACTTTAAGTATTATTTTAGAGGTCTTGAATTTGAGTCTCTTTGAATACACATTCATTTTTTAGAGTATACTTTACCACAATATGAAACTTTTCGACACGATCTGAATATAGTCGAACTTCAATATAAGTATGAGATACTAATTTCAAAAAAAATAAAATGAGGGGATAAAATTAATCAAAGTATCACCCATATGATAACGGTGGACCCCGTTTAGTCATTCATGGAATTGAAGTAACATTTTAAAATGTATTGACTAACAGTAGAACATAACGGAGTTTCAATAATTTTTTCTCTTTTTTTGTTACAAAGTTTGTATGAGAAAAGAAAAAATAGAATAGTTAAAATAAATAGTTATATAATTAGAAAAGAGATAAAATACGACAAATTTGGGGTTAAAATATATATTATTATTAAGAGGAAGCAAGTAAAACATACATATTTAAAATAAATAAATGATTTTTGTGTAATTATGCAATAATTAACGATTTATAATTATCTACAAAAGACTATATTTCTACGCTTTTTGCCTGTTTGCCATATTAAAATTGTAGGGGATACTCCCACAAATAATCAAGTCCAGAAAAATAATTAAGATAACGCAAAATTGATTTGCATCAAATAAAACGTTCAAGCTCATAGGTAGTTTTAGATAGACATAATACATAACAATTATTCAAATTTAATTTTAATTTGAAAGTGTATATTTAAACATTTTAATTTAATCTAAATTCATTTTTACTATGTTCGATGGAGACTTACGATAACTACACATGAATTATAAGGTGTTAAAAAGATATTTTTACATAAAAAACAGGCGAAGTTAAACTAGAGAAGTAGACAAAAATAAAACGTAATCATTCACATAAAGCCCATTCTTATCTTAGCAAAAACTGATATCACACGCATCTTTTCTCATCACAATCATCTTCTTCCTCTAATGCAACTCACGAATCTACAGTGTATCCTCCCCTCCCCCACCAGGCTCCATTTTATACTCTTTAATTAAAACCCTTTCATTTACAAAGCCCCATTCTCTTCTTTTAAGCTAAAATCCCCATTTCCCAAAGGTTAAAGCAAAACAAATCTCCCCCCGACTTTTTCTTCTTTTCATTCACTTTCTTTACTTACTGTATCAAGTTTGAATCTTTGTAATCTTCATTACTACTACTTTTTTGGTAATATAAAAAAAGGGAATATAGTATAATTTGTTGCTCTGTTTTTAGTGAAAAAAAATAGATACTCTGTTTTTATATAATAACCCCATTTCTAGAGAGAGAAAGAGTGGTTTGGGGAAGCTCTGCTGCTCTATTGTTTAATGGATAAAAGCTGTAATTCTTCTGGTGAGGGTGATTCTACTGCTACTTCAGCAAGTAGTAGTAGCAGTGGTAATAGAGATATGTATTTGAAGCACCTAAACAAAATCTCTCACAAGATCTCGAAACCCATTAGAAAACCTGCTTTTTTTGAAAACCAGAATCCTCCGCAGGCGCAGGCGCAGACCCAACACGCTCCACCGCCTCTTCCTCCTCCTCCTCCTCCAGCTGGGCCGCAAAATTTGCACCCTCAGCCGCAGCAACAGCCGCCGGTGTATAATATTAACAAGAGTGATTTTAGGGATGTTGTTCAGAAGCTTACGGGCTCCCCTGCTCATGAAAGGATTTCGACTCCTCCGCCTATTCAACAACCCAAGGCTGCAAGTTCACGGTTGCAGAGGATTCGTCCTCCGCCGCTTGCTCAGATTAGCAACCGCCCACCTCCGTTTGTGAATGGTTCTAATAACGCCGTTGCTGGTGGAGGGTTTGTTGGCGGTCAACGGCCTGTTCAGGCACAGCCGTTATCTCCTCTCCCACCGTTTCCGGCGGTGCATGCGTCGGCGGAATCGCCGATCTCCGCTTACATGAGGTTTCTACAGAGCTCAATCGCTTCTGCTTCGACTGATTCCGATTCCAAGCGATTCTCTACTGGGCTATCACCACTAGCTCCGCGGTGGAACAACTTCGGTGCGCCGCAGCAGCAGCCACCATTTCCGCCTCCTCAGCCGCTTCCGCTGCCGCATCAACAGAACATTCCTCCGCCACCGACAAACTCCTCCTTTGTTTTACCACCGTTTCCTGCTTTTCCCTCATCGCCACTTCCGTTTGGGTGTTTGCCGTCGCCAAGGTCGCCGTACGGTTTGCTATCTCCCGGTCTTCTGCTTTCACCGTCCCGTCAACTAGGGTTTCAGCAGCTCCCTTTGTCGCCGACACTTCCAGTGGCAAGCCCGAAGTGGAAGGGTATTTGAGGAATTTCATAGAAACATTAAAAAGGTAAGTCTTTTAGGAGTTTTTCAAAAATTTTTTGTTTTGTTTTTTATAATAGGAATATAGTTTATAATTTGTACATTTTGGGGGAATCATTGGATTATATTGAAGAGTAGAGTCTTTTATGCCCAAATATGATGTAGCTAGCTATTAAATGGCTAATTAGGGGTTTGTTTTGTTGTACATGAATGTTAAAAGACAATGAAGAGAGAATTTTTTGTTTGTTCATTCAGCTCTTCTTATCATCTTCATTGATAAAATAGTAAAATACTGAATTCTTTGTGATCAATTTAATTCGATCTTTAAGTTCCATTGATTTAGAATGTGAACTAAATTGTATGTACTTGCCGATGGGATATAATGGTGATGTTTGGGCCAGCTTGTGTTAGTCTTGACTCTATCACTAAGGGGAGGAGAGCAGGGGAGTGGTATTTAATAGAGCAACAAGTTCAAATTATATTATACATTTGCTTCTGTACTGATTCTGTGTTGTTTTGATTTGCCTTCAGTAGGGTACTTGTTGTGTCTCTTTATTTGAGGTATTTCACTCAGATACTTCCATATTACTAGGCCTTAGCATCATATATGCTAGAGACAACGTGGTATGCCTTTTAAAGTAACGGCTTAAGTTTTTAAGAACTTGATTATCATTTTCCAACTTCAAGGGGCAGGAATTGAGGCCTTATTTCTAGCGTTTGTGAGTTTATCACTAGCATTGTTTCATTGCCATAGACCCTATTCGTTGTTGGCGTTGGATGTGGTTGGTGTAAAATGGTGGTTAGCGAAATCAATTCACATAGATGATGTTTGCTTGGTTTCTCAATTGTGTTTTATTGGTTCATGCTACTCTCCCCATTCCAGTGCAGTTTTTTTATTTCCCTGACATAAAGTTTGAAATTACAACATAGAATTAGATGGCAGGCACTGAATCGGCGAACTTACCTCTCCTTTGTTTAGTTCAATATTTTACTCCAAGGAAAGATCATACTTGATGATCATGGTCACCTGAGACTCTCTGCCAGTTGTACAGTCGTATAGAGTGGCGTAGACAGGATTTTCAGTAGAAAATTTCATTATCATCCATCCCTTCAAAGATTGTGATTTGAAGTGTAATGGTAAGTTTTATTAAACATCACATGTAGCATGAACGTTGTTTTTGAAGTAGTTTAATTGAAAAGATAAAAAGTTAGTGACGTGGAGAAATTGGAGTAATTCTTTTGGTTGATGATTTTTTTATGGAAAGAGTAGAATATGTGGACCTGTGTGTTGCTCTATTAATTTTGAACCTCCTTTTGACTGGTTGATTTCAAAGAGAACTTCTTTTATGTGTGGTTGGAGACATTGTTGTGGGGCTATTCAGATGGTCTATTCCCACTCAAGGTTATGACTAATGACTCCCATGAGCCAATTTGAATCAATTATCTGCTTTAGTTCTAACCCATTGGTGGCCCTTAAAGCTGACACTAATTTTTACTTAGACACTTTAACTGGGCAAGGTTCATTTTAAACACCTTATGTCGGGTTTCACTATGTCATTTTGACACTTTTTGCTTATATGACTTAGTGAGTGTAATAGACCTGTTGAGCGCGCCTGAAAAACCTATTTAGTCGATTTTTTAATTATTTTTTCTTCTTCTTTCCCATTTTCAGCCACCATTTTTGCAAACTTAAATATCCAACATGGTGAATAAAAATAGTTACAGTAAAATGATGGAAACTATTTTAGAAATTTAGGAATAGATCCATTTCAAGATTAAATATTAAATTATTCATGAGATTCTTTTTTGAAAGAATTTAATTTTTAAAGAGGAGTAAGTTTAATTTTTGGTGAATTATAAACCTGCTAATTAGGGTAAAAAAGAAATTTTTTTTTTGAAGAAGACACTAATAAAAAAGAAAGAGTGTAGATGCCCAGATGTTTTAGCAAAAAAGAGATGG